GGATGGGCGGATGGATGAGTGGACAGATGGACGGATGGGTGGATGGATGGGTGGGTGGACAGATGGATAGATGGATGGATGGGCGGATGGATGAGTGGACAGATGGATGGATGGGCGGATGGATGAGTGGACAGATGGACAGATGGATGGATGGGTGGATGGATGGGTGGGTGGACAGATGGACACCTGAACACCTGATGTTTAGTTATCAGCCCCAGCTAGTGCTAGATCTGAAGATCCAATCTGCTTCTGTAAGGCTACGGATTCCCTACCCTGCTCCCTGCAGCACAGCGCCCCCTAGCAGCACTCAGCACTCCCTGCTCTATCACCATCCCTGCCTCGTGCGGCACTGGGCTCTCCAGGGAGGGCTCCCTGCACAGGTGCTGACCCAGCCAAGCCCTGACGCTCTGCCAGACTCCGGAGGCCCCGACACTGAGCAGCGCTGGGCCCTAGAGCAATTGCTGGGCAGAGGGGACGAGACGGGCAGATTCCCCCAGGAGAGCTCAGACCCTGGTGAGGGGAAGGTGCCCGAACCCAATGGGGCTGGATTTGGACCCACATGCAGAGGGCCCAGGGCGAGCCCAGGGCCAGCGCTCTGACTGCACCAGCAATGGGTGGGCAGGGTAACCCACAGCCCCCAGTCCGGCTGCTGGCTCCAGGATGGGACTGAGAGCGCCCCCATGTGCTGACACTGGGCATCACAGGCGGGGAGCTGGAGAGCCCCAGGGAGTGTCTGCATCCAGCAGCCCTATTCTACCCATCAGAGCCAAGCCCCCTCTATCACCTTATCAACCCCACCACAAGGGGGCGCTGCCACCCTGCCTGCCCCAGACTCTACCTTTTATGCTGATGCTGGCCCGAACCTCCTTGGCCGCAAACCTGTTGGCGACCTGGCAGATGTAGACGCCTGTGTCGTCGGGGGTGAGGGGTTTCTGGAAGAGGAGGGTGGCCCCCTTGACCTTCACTCCTTCGGGCATGGGGCCGTTGAGCCTGGGGAGCAGAGGGGCAGAGTCAGTGGGGGGAGCTAAGGGGGGAGGGCAAGGGGTTGAACAGGCAGGGAGCAGCGATCCCATCCGCTTTAACCAGGGTCTGTGCAGCAGCTGTTCCCAGCTGCCATCCCTGCCCTAGAGCAGGGATCTGCACTGGGGGGGGGGGTTTCCAATGGAAGGAGG